ATTTTTCCAAAAATAAATTACAATTAAAAATCAAGCTTAAAAAGTTATTTCTTTTAATTTTTAAGTTTTATTTTTTTTAATTGGTATTTATTTATTTATTTATTAATGTTTATTGGCTATTTGGTTTCTGGTGTTTAAAAAATTTAAATGTTCTCATTAACGGCGAAGGAGGAGAAGATGACGATATGAGGAAGAAGAAATATATGACTGAGTTGTTAATCAGCGCTGCAAGTTTGTTTCCTTCTTGTGTGCCTGTGAGTGTGACTGTATCCGCGCTGCTCCATCCAAACATGAATTACCATCTAGCCCAAGCATCCACATTATCAAGCCATCATCAACCTCGGCGCTATTTCTGTTTCTGTCCTGGCTTGGCTTAGCTTGCTTGAGTCTCTCGGATGGGTGGATAATTGCCATAACGGTACACCTTGTAGTAGGCGGTAGCTTGCGCCATCTAGATTGAATGTTGCCAATGAAACTGAATTTCGAAATACTGCGCAAATACAAAGCTAATAATAATTGTAGTGCGTCCTGGTTTTATTAAAGAATTGTTTAGTCAAAACTATAGTTAAAAGATGTCCTAAACTTACGCAACTACATGTAATAATTTGTATGTGAAATTTAGTTGAGCAGTGAACGTGAACTGTGTATACTACCGCTATTTCATTCATTTATTTGTCTAAAAACGTAATCAAATTGAGGACGTATATATTACCTCTAACTTTGTATCCTTCGTCCTCAATAAGTCCTCGGAAGGACGTTTCTAGGATGATCCAGCGACTGACGTTCTCAGGATGTCCTGAGGACGTCTTAAAAACCTTGAGGACGTTTGTACCTTTCGAGGACGTCCTGAGGATGTCGGGTGTTGTCTGGGGTTGCTGTGCTAAAATGTTTTTTGTGAATGAAAGGGGTCTCTCGTTGTGCGGTTTTCACACGCCACACTGCTCCGCGAGATTTACAGTGCCGAGTAAAGTAGAACGCTGCGATGCACCGGGAGCACTGTGTTCACACGGAGGAATGAGGTGTAGAAACCGGTAATTACAAGCCTCGTGTGACGTCACATTCGGTACGGGAGTTCAGCCATTGATACTTTCGAAATTTTGCATGGAGTTTCGCAAATTTATCCGTTATTGATTGCTCTAAATAGGGGTGGTTTAACAGAATAAGAATGGCTTTTGTTAATCATTAGTCTCCTTCCAGAAAGCCATCACTATGTATTAAGAACTTCAAATTTTCACAGGATAATCTCTTTAAAGGAGCGATGCAACAATTTTTGCACTTTGCGCAAATACCGCTTAAAACGGATCCCTAACGTTAATGACCTATGAAACACGCGTTCGTTTTTCACCCCACGCAATAGAAGTCCCAGAAAAAAATTAAAAAGAAACGAGCAGCGTTCACCCCCTCAACTCGCAGCCAGAACAAGCGGCCACGTGATCTGGAGCCGATTATATGCCGCCAGTGTTGATCATAGCCACGCGCTGGGGTTGGCAAAGCGCAGGACACGCGCTGAGTTCCAGACATTGTTATGGCTCAGCTGTTGTCGTCGTTGCAGCGATTGGACACGGGTCACTACCCGAATGCTTCTCGAGCTAGCCATTATCACGAGCCCAAGTCGAGTGCCCACGCAATGCTCGGGTCCAATCTATGAACCGCATTCAAATATCGTCACTTGGGTGTTCTGCGATCCCCACGTTACGTCATCAAATTTTACAAAGGAGAGATTGAATGAAAATGATCGTTTTTGTCCTTGAAATTACACCGAAACAAATGAGTTTCTTGGCCAGCGGAGTTGCGTGGGAGTATTTTTGACTCCCACTAGTGCCAGTAAGCTCGTGTATAGTGAAAGACATTCCAACTGAATATCGTTGCACAGCTCCTTTAAAGGCCTGTTCACACATACAGCGGAGCGCTATGTTAGCGCTACGTGAGCGCTCCAAGGAGCGCTCACGTGGCGCTTCCTAGCGCGTGACTTAGTTCTACCATAGCGCACGATAAGAGCTTCTGTAGCGCCTTGTTACGGTGTATCCACACGACAGACCGGGCCACGGACCGATTGATCACGTGATGCGTGGCCCGCGGGCCGCCCGGCTGCAATGAGCATCCACACGGCGGACCAAAAGAGCAGACGACCAAGCAAACGGGCCGGTCTAACCCTCGACCTCACAGCTCCGCCAAACTCATGCCGCGAGCTGCTTTGAGGCTATTTGTAAGGAGCCAAGATGGAGGTTGAACGAACGAGACCTTTGGCCACAGTGGCCCTGGCGTTGACTATTGAGGACGAGGAGGACTTAAGTGAACCGAAAGATGCATGGGGACATCTTTAGATGATTATTTGAGTAGTCGTCGCGACTATTGTCCTACCGAGCGTAGAATTGCTCCATGAGCGCGATGAAGTAACAAGTTGCATCGCCGCACAACAAAAAGTTCGTCTTCTTCGTCTTCAACAGTTGGCACCAAAAGAAAACGACTTTGGATTTGGATTCCAATCCAAACAAGAAAAGTCAGCTTGTTGCCAGACTTAGCGCTTCAATTATACTTAAAAAGCCGCGGTCCGCCGCCAAGGTCCGGACGAGAAACGTCGCTTGGCATTTCTCAGAAGCGCGGGCCGCGGACTGCCGGCTGACCTTAAAGACCGATGACGTAAGATCACGTGATGCGCGGCCCGCGGACCAAAACAGCGATTTTGGTCTGTCGTGTGGATACACCTTTACCGCTCCAGTAGCGCCTTGTTAGTGCTTCAGTAGCGCCGCGTCACTAGCGCTTCTTGTATCGCGGTGCTGCGGATTAGCGCGTGCACTGCGGTTCCGGTTCCTGGAGTTGGGTGTGCATCAGCAGCACCATGGCGGACATGTAGGATGCTGAAATAGAAATGCGACACATGCTCTTAGATACGCGATTAGTGCATATGTGTGTGGACGGCTTAACGCCCAGAAGAGCCTTCTGGGTGCGCGAAATCTTTCGCCACCGAGATATCGACGGGTACCCGGCGAACCTTGTACGCAAGCTTAGGGACCGAGACAAAGAGGTCTTTCGAAGGCGATTATTTTTATTTCCGTGTCTTTGAAACGAGGGTCACCCGCATCCAATAAAAAGCGATGAGGTCGTACCCAATCAATTAGTCGCTCAGAGTCCATGGCTCTGGATTGCCTGCCCGACCCCTTGCTTGGAGAGCGGCTGTTTTATTTCCTCTTCTTTGAATACCAAAGGAAAAACAACAACAAAGGAATCGCCGTGCAGGCGCTGTTCCGCAGCAGCAAGCACGGCACAAGGAGCGTGAGAGCGTTAACAAAGCGCTTCTGTAGCGTTAACAGACCGCTAACAAAGCGCTTCTGAAGCGCTAACAGAGCGCTGGTGAAGCGCAAACCGAGCGCTACATCACGCGCTAGGAAGCGCCACATGAGCGCTCCTTCGAGCGATCACGTAGCGCTAATTTAGCTCTCCGCTTAAGCCTTAAGGGATTTCTCTCTCGTGTGAATACCCCTTAAACCAGCCTTAAGGGTGAACGGAGAACAGTCGGTCTCTCAAAGCTCACTGCCTCTTTCCCGAAACATGAGTGCAGAGTAAAAAGACAGTAGAAAAAAGAAGACGTGTCATTTCGTCATCGGAAAGCCAACCAGACCAGTGGCACCCGCCACGTCTTCGATCGAGAAGGTGCTCAAGCTGCCCGGTTACAAGCTCGACCGCAAACTGGGAGATACCGGGGACCGCTTTCGCGAAGACAGCCGCCCGGCCAAAACCGCCGAAAACTCCCGGAGCAGCACCACGTGAGCGCTGGACTCCCTGCGTCACCGGAAATTTGGTCGGATCGTCTGCAAACTTGTCAAGCACGGAGGCCTGCTAGAGGTCAGCAGCCCATGGCGACCCCGCGAAACCACCGTTGCGATGAACACCGCTGGGCCTGACGCTCCTCTTCACCCTCTTTATCAACCCATCATCATCGTCATCATTCACACCACACATGCAATTTATTCGTCATTAGAAGCGGCGCCGCACGCCGTCAGGGTATGGGCGATTTGCCATTCTCCGGCGTCGCGGCTCTCCTAAGCTAAAGTAGATATACCATATCATATATCATATCATGTTATACCGAGCAATGGATTCTCTAATTAAGTTCGGTTGCTGCGCCCGATGTCTATCGTCAGTATACCGACTCACGGGGTACTTGAGACATGAAGCAGTGTTCCAGGTTGGAGTCGCTGATTCTCGTTGCATATAAAACACGCTTTACTATACTGCCGTGTTTTTAACTTTCGGTGAAACAAGGGAGCAGCAGCAGTGACAAGACAATAAATATTTGGCAACATTTCTCACTGATTCGATACTGCGAACGCAAAAAAAACTATTTTTTTTTAATTGTTAGAGCACGAATTAATGTTGAAATTACGTGCGGGGCGTTAACATATAAAACCCGGGCACACACACACATATATATATATATAAAGAATTAGGGGAGTGAAAGCCATAACTTGGCGTTCCGCAGGGCGAAGCACAGGATCTCTTAGACTGCCGCTTTAAGTATTTTCTATTTATTGCCGGCTACAACTTTAGCGGGGTTCTAGACCATCCCAGAGTTATATAAATATTTCAGCAAATGTAAACTTAAGACATTTTTTTCTTAATTGTTGTTTGTTGCCATCTTTTTCGGCGATACTTTTACTGTGCATCCTTCCTCAAGTACGCAAGGAAAATTTATTTCACTCATATTTGCAGCTTTTTCATCCGGTTTTGGAGAGAGATATTACATTGTTGTTGAACGAAGCGAAGACTCATTTCGCGCACGCCGTTTGGCGATGCTAATAAAACACGACAGGTCGGTGAGGCGAAAATGTCACCTGAAACTTTCTACTCTTTGAATCAATAATGCAAATGGCATTTTTTCATATTTACTAAAATATCATACCTCGGAGAGCCCTCACTCACTTCTAGAACACTTCATGGGCTACAAAGAGCCATTACGCGTGCTCCAGCAGGTCGACGCACGACTGATATAATATTTGATGCTCTAGTTATAAACGAAGAATGCGATAAAAAGAACAATCACGGACAGGAGTATGTAAAACATCGAGGCGCCGCGCTTCTCTGTTTGGAAGCTCGTGCAGTTGCGATTTAACGGATAGTGCACTCTCATTTGGGATCCCAAGATGGCGTCTCGTGCTCCAGTCCATGAATGAGGGCCTTCGAGTCTGAACTGGTATGGCACACAAGGCCCCAGTAGGGCACGGAACAGCTTGTGGTCGGTGAAGAAGTACTTGAGCATCCTGGGACTGGCGCCCATCTTGTCCGCCAGATCATCCATGTACTCCATCCAATCAACGTATATGGTGGTATCGAACGAGTTTCCAAAACGAAGCCACAGTGCAGCTCTTTGTCTTGCAATGTCCTGGTACATTTCGTGATGCGGTGGAAGCTTGCACTTGCCCGCGAGCAGCTGGGCCGCCCATCGGGCCTGCGGGGAATTAAAAGCGGAGTAAGAGATTATATGTTTTGTTAGGCGACAAATGCGATTGTGTGGTTCAGAGCTGTGAAGTGCTCGATAAACATTCATATAAATTAAAGATGGGCATTCCCACGACTGGACCGTTATGACCTGAAGTTTGAACAAGTGGCATCCGGATTCTTAGCTTGTCAAGAGCTTCACAGTTTCAATAAACACAAAGTTTGCCGTAAAATCCCGGGAGACGCTCTACCACTGAAAAATAACTCACCCCTGTTTTTGACGCGATTTGCTATGTCTTTAAAAATACCGAATGATAGCCCAGTTATGGTAATTGCAGGGCCCTGGCCAATGGTGACCTCGGCAGAAATGGTGTTCTTTAGCCAAAGCTGGAGATAAGCGAACATTGCGGACTCGAAAGAACATTTGTCTTTGGTTCATCGCCCATCCCCTCGATTACAAGTTCCGCAGGACCCAATATCTCAAACTAGCATTTTTTTTCTAGGTTGTTTGATCGCACACCGGAAGGTAGCCCACTGCTTACTTTCAACTGATTTCGATTTTAGGTGGACTATTTCTGGAGATTTAAGGGTAAATGTTTTTTCAGCATTCTTGACGGACAATGTGCCACGTCATTGTACTTTTACGCCGTCCTAAATATGGGAGGGGGCTGCTCTGCTTAAACTAGCGGCAAAAAGAAACGTAGCAGTGATATCCTCCAGGTTGTAACGGTGCTGGTACTCTGGCAACCTGCTGCATCGTGGGCAGCGCCACCGCTGGCCTATTTACAAGGCCTATTTAAGTGACGCACCATTAAACTTTATCCTCTTTTCTTCAATCGCTACCCCACGGCTCGTGTCTTTATTCGATACATGGTGCCAGAAGGGGGATATGAAAGGATTAAGAGTACCTACAGAGCTCCAGCTGACGGGCAATGTTGCCGAGAACTGGCGTCGCTTCAAGCTGCGGCCAAAGGTCTTCATGACGGCAACAGAACCCACCGCTAAAAGGAACTATCGGCAGAAGACAGCGCTGCTCCTTCATGTTGCTGGAGAAGGGGCCCAGGAGGTCTACAGCACCTTCCAGCTCGGTGAGCAAGCGACGTACGCTCAAGTTGTAGCTAGATTTGAGGACGACTGCACACCGAAGAAGAATGAAACGCATGAGAGTTACGTCTTCAGAACACGCATCCAGGCCGAGGGTGAGCCATTCGAGCAATTCTATCGCGACTTGCAGTTCAAGTCCAAATCGTGCGAGTTTTCGATGCTGACAGGGTCAATAATCCGAGGCCAAATCGTATATGGAACTGCAAGCAAGAAATCGCGCCAAAGACTTCTTCGGGAACCCGATCTGACGTTAGAAAAGGCTGTGGAAATGTGCAAAGCGGACAAAATAGCTGCCAAGCAGATGAAGGGATGGGAGGAGCCAGAAAAAAACGGTCCACCTCATTAAGGGTAGAGCGTCGGAGGGGCGAGTCTCTTTTCACAATCAAGGCGAACGGAAAGACTGGTGCGCAAAGTGCAACTTAATTCACCGGGGCCCTACTTGTGCAGCTTTAAGGAAAGTTTGTAGAAGGCGTAACAAGAAAGGCCATTTTGAGGCTTGTTGCAAGACGGACCGAGTGCATGAAGTAAAAAAACATCGAGGAACAAGAAAGTCAAGGCAGCCAAGAATTCGACATTCTTGAAATCAGCGGGTGCAGTGAAGGACGTGGTTCTGAGTGGCTGGCACCGGCAACTGTGGCTGGCAAGGAGATCTCCTTCAAAGTGGACACCGGAGCTCAAGCAAACTTACTGCCGCTCTCGTGGCTGCTGCGTGCCAGAAAGAACATTGTGCTGCAAAAGAGCGCTGCAGACCTGCGAAGCTACAACGGCGGTTTGATTTCCCATAAAGGAAAAGCCAGCTCGATGGTGTCATTCAACAACAAGCAAGGCCTACTGGCATTTTTTGTGGTGAAGAAATCCCGCACTCCGATTTTGGGACTCCAAGCCTGCGAGCAGTTCGGTTTGGTAAACCGAATATCAGCGGTTAGCGACAACACCAACGGAGTCATTTCTGACTTTCCTGAGGTATTCAATGGCTTAGGCTGCATCAAGAAAACCTACCACATGGTGCTTAAGGAAGGAGCCCAGCCGGTTCAAGCAGCACGGAGGGTTCCTCAAGCGTTGCGAAAACCATTGGAGGCAGAGCTGCAACGTCTCACAGCCGCCGGAATCATCCGGAAAGTTGACAAGCCCACCAGCTGGGTAAGCCCTTTGGTGATTGCCCACAAAAAAGACGGGAACATTCGAGTGTGCTTACACCCTCGTCATATAATGAATGGGTGAAGCGTGAGCATTATGAGCTTCCGAAACGCGAGGACAATGAGGCAGAACTTTGCGGAGCACAGTGGTTTTCTACCCTAGATGCTAACTCCGGTTTTCATCAGATACCGGTAGACGATGAGACCGCAGACATTTGCATGTTCGCTACTCCGATTGGGCGGTATGAGTACACGCGGCTACCTTTTGGAATTGCCTCAGCTCCTGAAGTCTTTCAAGGAACGGTGTCAGAAATACTTGAAGGTTTGCCGGGAGTTCGTGTGTATATAGACGACATACTTGTCTGGGGAAGAGCCGAAGCCGAACATGACGAACGCCTACGGGCAGTGTTAAGCCGAGCAACGCGAGGAGGTCTCGCACTTATTTTAGAGAAGTGCAAGTTATTTTGCAAAGAAGTCACTTTCCTAGGAGACGTGATAAATCAGAACGGAATCAAACCGAGCCCAACCCTAGTTCAGGGTGTCCACGACTTTCCGACGCCAGATAACAAAAATGATGCGTAGCGTTTGTTGGGATTTATAAATTATTTTGGCAAGTATATACCTAATTTGTCGTCCAAAACAAACTTATTACGTGACATACAAACTGTATTTCAGTGGACTGGGGCGCATCAAACAGAGTGGGAGGGCCTGAAAACACTCCTAGTGACCGCTCCGACACTCGCGATCTTTGACCCTGTGAAACCAGTGAGAGTATCGAGAGATGCGTCGCAATACGGATTAGGAGCTGCATTGATTCAACTGCAGGAAACTGGGTGGCGGCCAGTGACGTACGCCTCGCGAGCTCTGTCAGATACAGAGACCAGGTACTCCCAGATTGAAAAGGATACCCTGGGAGTCACTTACGGGCTCGAGAGGTTTTATGAGTTTTTGTGCGGGAGGAAGGTTTTAGTTGAAACGGACCACAGTGGGTTATTATCGCCATAGCAAAGAAGTCTGTGGGTGACAGACCCCCACGATTGCAAAGGTTTTTTCTACGTTTAATGAAGTACGACTTTTAGTTGAAGTTTATTCCTGTAAAGGATCTAGTCGTTCCGGATGCCCTCTCCAGAGCATTCTCAAAGAGTAAGAAGGAAGAATAATCGGAATCAGACGTTGAACTACATGCTGTAGGGGTTGAATACAGTATGGTCAGTCGGAAAACACGGGAACAGCTAATAGCTGAGACAGCTAGTGATGAAACTCTTGCTCAAGTAATCAATAGCCTTGAACATCACAGACCTATTCAAGGTCTATACAGGGTCTTTGAAGGGAAGTTAACGGTAGCAGAAGGAATTATTTTCAAAGGCACAAAAGTTGTCATTCCTCACAGCATGAGAAAAATAATTCTTAAAAAAATCACGCTGGTCATCTCGGCATTAACAGGTGTAAGGCCAGAGCAAGAGAACTGGATTTCTGGCCTGGTATTACTGAAGACATCCAGTCTCTTGTTCAGCGATGTCGGGCTTTTCAGCAGTATGCGTTTAGGCTGCCAAGTGAGCCCTTCCTTATGCGGTCAGTTCCTGACCTCCCGTGGAATCGAATTGCGTTGATCTTTTCGAGTATGCTGATTCCTCTTACCTCGTAGCCCATGACGCTTTCTCTAACTTTCCGGAAGTCGAAAAACTTCGAGAGGTCACGTCAGCGGCTGTGATGAAGAAGCTTAGCAGCTTATTCTCAAGACATGGAATACCACTGGAACTATGCTCGGATAATGGTCCACAGTTTTCCTCACACGAGTTTCGGCATTTCGGTCACAAGTACGACTTCGTACACACAACATCACGCCCTCGCTTTCCTCGCTCAAATGGACTCGCCGAAAGAGGAGTCCAAATAATTAAACGAATTTTGAAAAAAAAAAAAAAAACGATTGACGCCAACGAAGGTTTTTGGTTTGGACTGTTAAATTACAGATCAACTCCCCTGGACGATGGCCGGAGCCCGAGCCAGCTGCTCATGGGACGGAGATTGCGGTCTCCCATTCCCGACTTTGCGCCACGGGCCCCATCACCAGTACAGAAGCGCTCCCAGTGCCACAATCGGGGATCTACACAGGTTCCTCTTGCTGAGGGTCAAGTCGTGCGAATCCGGGACGATCGGGGGTGGAACAGAAAGGCTCAGGTACAACGAGGTGTAGCTCTACGTTCATATATAGTAAGCACGGAAGATGGACAAGAATTGAGAAGAAACTGGGTGCACCTCCGTCCCACCTACGAAGACTTTGTGCAAGATGCAGACCACCCCGAGCCCCGTGCCACAGAACGTGCTTACTCTTCCGGCCCCTCAGCAGAAAGTGAAGAAACTTATCTTCAAGCGCCTGCGCAGAGTAACTTCATGGCACACACGCCCGTGGATACCGGGCAGCTTTCCACAGATCAAGGAACTGCCGCGAAACGAACACGTGCGCAACAACCACCCGCAAGGTTGTGGTACGACGGGCGTTTTCAGCAGCACCCGTAACTTCACTGCTTTCGCCATCCCTCATAAAGAAAGGGAGGTGTAACGGTGCTGCTACTCTGGCAAACTGCTGCATCGTGGGCAGCGCCACCGCTGGCCTATTTAAGGGACGCACCATTAAACTTTATCCTATTTTCTTCAATCGCTACCCGACGGCTCGTGTCTTTATTCGATACACAGGTCATGTCCCAATTGAGATTCAATAAATTATAGCCTCTAAAATCTCTTGCGATTCTTATGTGATTCCTCTTTTTAC